CTGGGCTCTGCCAGAGACACGGCAGGCCAGAAGGAGGGCCACACTTGGGCACACTTGGCCTCTGTGCTCCACATCCTCCTCTCAAGCAGAGCTGGCCTTCCTCCAGTGTTTCCATTACGTTTTGCAGCCAAATGTTGCTTCATAGAGAGATTTTGTTTGGGACCAAAGGGACTAAGGAATGGGAAGATGGGAAGGGATGGGAAGGGGTTTGAAGAGGCCTCTGTCAAGATGTAGGGAGTGGGAACTATATCTTAGAAATAGGAAAACAGGCTCAGATTCATTGCTTGGTCTCCTGGCAAGCTGAGGCTGAGGAGCCCAAAGCCAGAGGAAGGTCTTTCTCCCTCCTCCAGGATCAAGGCCACCTCAGCCCCAAGCCCTGATCTTTTTGCATTAGACAACTCCAGACTGACACAAGAGTCAAGCTGCAGATGGGAAGGCTGAACCTGCAGCTACTCCCACTCTGCTTTTTCAGTAGCAGAGCCTGCCTGACACCCCCCTTGGCCCTCATTCCCTCAAGAAAGCCAGAATTAGAATCCAGACCTGGCACAAATCTCCTGCTATGGACTCTACCAGAGATTGGAGAGTCACTTTCCCTTTCCATGAATATAGCAGCCCAGGGACTAAGTGCTGAAGATGACCTAGATGTCAGAAAACCACTATCATTACCATCAACACCACCATGGCCATCACCATCATCACCATCCACCATTATCATCAACACCATCATCATCATTACCACCATCACCATCATTACCACTTTAGCAGTAGCAGTAGTAGCAGAGGCCATCATAAGAGAAGCAAAACATCTTGAATAGAAAATGGAGCTTTGTTTGAGTTATTTTGAGGTATGGTTTGGTAATAGGATGATAATCTTGGGCAGAGAAGGGTGGTGAAAGAATGTACCAAGGGGAAGAGCCCTGACGTCTGGGCTGAGCACTACTCTTAACTTCTTATATGGCTTTGGAAAGTTGCAGGTCCTAAGCTTGACATTCTCAGTTATAAAACAGTGACACTGACAGGGAGGGTGTTGAGAGCAGGGGACAGTGGCCCTCTGCAAGTTCCCTTGTGACTTTTAGGTATGATGGAAAGAGATAAAAAACACAACTCAGGAGCCCCATTCTTCCCAGACGGTCCCTTTCATGACTAAAATCCCTAATTGTAATGCAACAAGCAGACATGTGGGGCCCTGAAAGGCAAGAAGAAGACAGGCTGCAAGGGGCCTTGGGATGTGGGGAGCTCCCTGAGCTTCCATGTTGTCTCCCATATGATCCCCAGCAGGTGCTGTGAAGCCTCCAACACAAAATCTCAATGGGCACAGACTAAAATAGCTCTAGGGAAAGCCTGTTGCCACTGAGAAAAGTATGACCTAATGACAGAGAACCTTTTAGAGAATATCCTCCCTACTCCAGCCAAACACCAATGGAAAAAACACACGCTGCCTCTGGGGCTTCAGCAGGCAGAATGGGAGTTGATTCAATGATACTACTCCATCCCAGCTCCACCTCACCTCACCCAACTGCTCACCTCTAGGAGCTCCAGTCCCCTTTCAGGGTGGTATTGGCATCCAGGGATGAGCTGAGACCCCAGGCCCACCTGGCATTAACAAGATGGTGGAAGGAAGTGTGGGAGGTAACTTAGCTGACCCCCTGCCTCTCCCTTCCCTGGTGTCTGTGGGACTCAATGGGGAGGTTAAGCATTCACCCCCACTCAGAAGCAGTGAGGCATTGTTAGTTGGCCAGTAGGGCTAAGGAGGGATCTGAACCTGCACCCCACCTGTCTACCACAAGGCCATGTGAGTCAGGGCCCATGTTCTGGGGTGCTGGCTGTGAGGCCCCTCAGAAAACTCAACACACTGCCTATCTAGCCCTCATGCTACATCTCAACACAGGGACTGACTATTACAAAAAAAATGAGTGTCCAGAATCTCAGGACACTGAGTCCAGAGTACAAAAGAAAATCGCTCATCATACCAAGAACCATGAAAATCATAGACTGCATGAGAAACGACAATGAACAGGCATGATTGTTGAAGCAGATTGAGATGAATCGGATGCTGGAGTCATCTGCCAACGGTTTTAAAGCAACCATCACAAAAATGTTTCAGCAAGCAATTATGAATTCCCTTGAAACAAATGCAAAAACAGAAAATCCCAGCAAAGAATTAGAATTTACAAAAAAAGAACAAATTATCAAACTGAAAAATATAACTGAAATTGAAAATGTGCTGGAGGGGCCCAGTGGGAGGAGACAGATCTGGTGAATTTCCGGACAGGCAAGTGGAATTTACCCAATCTGAACAACTGAGAAAATAGAACAAAAAAATGATAAATTCACAGGAGCCTGTGTGACAATGACAAGATTGCTGGCTTTTGTATCCTCAGAGATGCAGAAGGAGAGAAAAGAGTATAACTTTAAAAACTATTACAAGAGGGGCAGCTGGGTGGCTCCATCGGTTAAGCATCCAACTCTTGGTTTCAGCTCAGGTCATGATGTCAGGGTCCCGGAATTGAGCCCTCATGTTGGGCTCCACACTCAGCAAGGATTCTGCTAGAGATTCTCTCTCTCTGCCCCTCCCTCCACTCACTCTCTCTGAAATAAATAAATAAACCTTTTAAAAAATGTATGACAAGAAAAAAAATGTATGACAAAAAATAATAGTACAAAATCCCCAAATTCGGCAAAAGACATAAATCTACAGATTGAAGAGGCCGCATAAATCCTGAAAGATAAACCTATAGAAATCCACACCAAGACACATAATAAAGCTTCTGGGAACTGCAGACAATGAAAACTCTCAAAAGCAGCCAGAGAGGGACACCTAGGTGGCTCGGTGGTTGGGTGTCTGCCTTTGGCTCAGGGCATGGTCCCAGGTCGGGGGATCGAGTCCTTCACCGGGCTTCCTGTGGGGAGCTTGCTTCTCCTTCTGCCTATGTCCCCACCTCTCTTTGTGTGTCTCTCATGAATAAATACATTTTTTAAAATCTTTTAAAAAAGGAGAGAGAAATGGTTCATTAACCTTTAAGGGAGCAGCAATCGCATAGCTGACCCAGAATCTGATCTGTAGCCACAGGAGCCATGGAGAAGTGACTCACAACATGGTAGCTGCTGAAAGGGAACAGTTAACTGTGGATTCTATGTCCAGAGAAAATATCCTTCAGGGACGAGGGAGAAAGAAAGTTACCTTTAGATGATAGAAAATGAGGGCAGCCCGGGTGGCTCGGCGGTTTAGCATTGCCTTCAGCCCAGGGCGTGATCCTGGAGACCCGGGATCATGTCCCAGGTCGGGCTCCCCGCAGGGGGCCTGCTTCTCCCTCTGCCTGTCTCTGCCTCTCTCTCTCTCTCTCTGTGTCTCTCATGAATAAATAAATAATATCTTTTAAAAAAATGAAGCTCCCCTTAAGACTAAAGGAAATTCTCTGAACAGAAAGGAAATGACTGAAGAGGACTTGGAACCTCAGAAGCACAGAAGAACATCAGGTTGGGTAAAAATACGGGTAATCATACTATAGGGTATTCTAATAGTTTCTTAAATCACTTGATGGTGGAAGGAAAATTCGCAATACCGTCTGAGGTTGTTCTCAATGTGTTAGAAGCAACAGGACAATTCTATTTTAAAATTTGGGAGGCTGAAGGGACCTAAACAGAAGTTTTCTGCATTTCACTCCAAGTGGGAAGATGTCACTACTGGTAGATTATGCTGTCCACCTAGGGCAATCCCAAGAAATCAATACAACACAATATGTAGAAAATCCTTATCAATAAATCAAGATGGAATTCCAAAAAATGTTCAACAAGCCATGGGACGGGGAAAGAATAGGAACAGGAGACAGGATAATATGGTGGCAGAGTCAAGATGGAACACATTGCTCTAAATGTAAAGCATCCAAACATGCCGACTGAAAGGCAGAGATTGGTACCACGGACTTGACACACCTGCTGTCTTCATAGACACTGTGTGCTCACCTGAGATACGACATAGGTGGTTTGACAGCAAAAGGAGAGGAGCATGCACACACGTGTCAATAGATGGGTGCATTCCATGTGGGCTGAACTTCCACGTAGTCCCATCAAGACTTCTCCCTCCCTCTCCCCCTCCCCCTGCATCCTTTCCCATTCCTTCCTGCCTCCACCAGCCTGCAGTGTCTACCCTTCTGTTCTTTTTCCATGTGCTTATAATCCTATAAAAAAACCACATGTTGCCTTACATGAAATGTGCACAGATATGCGTGGGAAAGTGCCACTGTTTTCTTTACCAGAAGAGAAGGGGGGAATCATTTTATAAAGACTTCTCTGTATTTTGTTTCTCTCCCAATATTATTTTGGGAGAATTCCACCAAATCAATGTGGAAAAATTCTCTTTATGCATAATTTATTCAACCATTACTTTATTGATGGCTGTTAACTTGGTCTCCAGGATTTCACTCCCCAACGATGCTAGCAACGTCTTTGGAAGTAAAAACAAGCAGAAACATCACAATCACCGAGTCGGGGTGTTGATGCCTATGTGATGCTCAGAGCGGGGGCCCTGCTAGAGGGTCCGAAACAGATGGCAGTTTCGGCTCCTGCCCAACCCCGTCTGCCCAGGATAAGGGCTCCCTCCTGCTTCAGCTGCTGACCTCATTAAAGCAGTGAGAAAGCCCTACTGTACTAAGGACCCAGCAGGTGACTCTGTTGGCCCCCAGAACAGGGCAGCATTCCCATGTGTTCCTGCCCCCAATCAGGGCTGACGATCTCAGACCATCCAAGACACATTTAAAATGGAGAAACTGGGGCCCCACCTTTGGTACAAACTCTGTAGATGGACAAAGCCTCAACCCCTCAAGGGCGTGGGGGCGGCCACTTAGAAGGGAATCACCACCAGGGTCAGAAATTATTCTGGTGCCACCTAGAATAAACAGCCCGACATGACCGGAGGCTGCACTGTTTTGTCTTTTATTGAACATCCTGCTGATGCCAAGGGGCAAGCTCACTGCCCACTCCTACCCCTTGCCCAGAGTCCTTCAGAAGCACCTTCTCTGAACCACGGATGTCCCAAACTCCTTGAAATCTGCGGAGGTGACCCACATCTGCTTGAAGCTGCTCAGAGAGGTGACAATGGAAGCCCCAATCCAAGTGGAGAACCACCTGTCGGGGGGAGCAGTGATCTTGATGGGGGTCCCCTTGGAAGCCAGCTGCTCCAGCTCCTTCAGGAGACGGTCATCGAGGCCCTGGAACAGAGTGGTGCCCCCAGACAGCACAATCTCCCCAAAAAGGGTCTTCTGGATGTCTGCATCACACTTGCTGATGCTGCAGGAGACCATTTTCGAGAGGCCTGGGTTCTGGATGCCCAACTGGTCGGGTGCGAACAGGGCCTCAGGCGCCTGGTACAGCTGCTCCCCGACACAGATGACGTTCCCGTCTGGCAGCTTGTACTCTCTCAGGACCTCCTCTGGCTTCCGGGATAGCTCCTCCTCAGGCTCCACGGCCACGTAGCACAGCTTTTCCTTGATGTCATCCACCAGGGCTTTGTCCAGCACACACGGGAAGGACCGCCCACTAGCCAGCAGCAGCCGGGTGAGGTGCTCTGTGATGTCCCTTCCTGCCACGTAGAGCTTGGTGACTGCATGGGGCAGGGAGTACCCTTCAAAGATGGGGACAGTGCAGGTGACTCCATCCCCGCTGTCCACCACCAGGCCTGTGACGCAGGCCGAGGCATAGAGGGCCAGCACGGCCTGGTCCGACAGGTAGAAGGCAGGCACATTGAAGTTCTCAAACATCATCTCGGCCATCTTCTCCCGAGCCTCCCTGGGGTTCAGTGAGGGCTCCGTCATGAGCACAGGCCTGTCGCTGGCCTTCACCCCCAGCTCCCACTCAAACAGGTGCTTGCAGAGTCTCTCCATGTCCTCCCAGCCGGTGACCAGGCCCCGCTCGATGGGGTAGTGCATCTGTAGGACCTCCTGCTTGTGCAGAGCCTCTTCGCCCACAAAGTACTTCTTCTGATTGGCTCCTGCCGAAGGGGTCTTGAACTTAGGGTGCCCTATGACAGAGCTGATGACATGGCGGGGCCCGATCTCTCCAGACAAGCCTGCTTTGCAGAGCCCAGAGCCATTGTCGAAAATCACAGCTGGCGAATCTAATACGTGTGGATTAAACATGTCTGCAGCATCCTCTTCTGTGCTTCACCAAAATAAAGACAGAACACTCTCAGCCACTTTGTGACGCAAGAGGCCCCTATGGAAGTTTAAGGGCACAGGATTCCACGGCTCTGCAGTGACTCCCGGGGGGGCTAGCAGGTGGCTGGGCCCTGAGAGTCCTCCATCTTCGCCGCAGATCTGCTCTGCTTTCAGGCAGCCGGGGAGGCCACTGCCTTTTCAGGGATGACAGTGTCATGTGTAACAATCCAGCCCAGGCAACAATTGTCTTGGGCCAGTGGCTGAGGGCCTTCGGGGGTGGCACCTCAGAGCCCCCAGTGCTCCCTCCCTGGTGAGACTCCACCTGGCATAGGGCAAGCCAGACCCACTGGTGGTGTTGATGGGCCTGTGAACTGGGGCCCAGCCTTGGAACCCAGGGAAGCAGCCCAGCCTGGGCCCACCCAGGGGACTGAGGTTTCTCTCCCACAGAGCTGCTATTTGTGGGGTGACAAAGACACACTCCCCTCCGCTAAGGAGATGGCCAAGCCCCAGGTACAGGTACAGGTTGGAGGAAGAGTGTCCACAACCCATCACAGCAGGCACTCAGAATGTGTAGACCCCTCCAGGAAGCCCTCAGATTTGTTTTTCCTTTACCCCCACGAGCCCTAGCTCTCTGTCCCACAGATGCAGCCTGCTGGCTGTCTCTCCAGGCCTGCATGTCCCTGCTCTGGCCAGAGGTCAGGGCCCCTCATTGCTCTCATTGTTCCCAACCCTGTGGATCACTGACTGTTACTCTGTGCCAGTGCTTCTCAGGTTCCCAGAGTGGGGGACACCTGAGTCTATGGACCATCATGTGGTTGGCCACATGGATGAGAACATGCTCAGAAATGACCGGGTCATCAGATTCATGGCTGGCACCAAGGCTGGAGGTGGCTGGGCTGCAAGTCCAGCTCCAGTCCTGCCCTTCCTGAGAGTCCAGGCGGAGGGCCTCTGCTGGGGACTCCCAGAGGGCCCGTGCCAGCTGCACTGAGTGCCGGAGGGTGGAGGCGGGTCGTGGAACATGAGCATACCTGACCATCCTTCCCCGCCCGGCACTTCTAATCCAAAGAGCTCCCCCAGGGGACCACCTCCCCCTCCAGAACCCCCAGCTGCCTCTGCTGGTGCTCCTGTGTGCCCTGCCCACCCTTCTAAACCTACCAGATAAAAAAAGTACATGTTAGTCGTGTGGTATAGATGTGTGGTGTGTACCTGTGGTGTAGACAAATGGCAGATAACATGACTTTGTGGGCACCCTTAGGGGCTAAGCCCCGGGGGAGAATCAATAAGAACTTGGTCTTGTTGGACATTTCCCCCAAAAGACACCTCCAGGTAGAAACTGAGTCACATACAGATGGGGTTGGTGCCATAGGATGGCCCCAGATGGAGTTTGCACCACCCACAGCCGTCATCAACTACTCCCGTGGGGATCCCACTATTTGTGGGGTCCAACGTTAGGGGAGTATGTGTCTCTGGTGGGCTGCCACTGCGGGTGAGGGGACGGTCAGCAGGAGGCTGTATTGGAGGTTCCTGCCCGCTTACATCACAAAAAGCCTGTGTACTTGGGGACTCTGGCTTTGATAGAATTTTCTGATTGTTGCCCAACATTCCAGGCTGAATCGGGAGGAATGTGCTCTTAGGGTCTCTAAATTTTGGCACCCAAAGGGGCCCACGTGGGAGGTGATATAACAATGCACATCAGTCTCAAACGCCAGGTGGAGGCACATGGGTGACACATGGGTGACATATAGGTGTGTCCTGGGGGGCTGGGGCTGGCAGAGGCATTGGCCATTTGCAGCAGGGTCAGAGGAGAAAAGGACCAAGGGTGACGCCCCAGCAGACAAAGGAGCACTCTGTGGCCACTGGGCACCCTGTTGCTATAACAACATGCAATAGCCACGCCCCATAAGCCAGTGGCCTCTGACCCACACGAGGTCACACCAACACCCCCCGGCCCCTCCTACCTGTCCCTGAGCTCCCCAGCCTCATCTTCCTCACCAGCCCCCCACTTAGGTCTGGGACACCTGTACCTGTTGCCAATCCTGTTCCTTGGCAGCTCTCTGCTCCTCTGTGACCCCTGCCGACCCGTACAAGCTGACGCCGTCCTGCAAGGAGCCGGGAAAGCACGGCCATCGTCAGGGGCAGCGGCTCCGAGTAAAGCCACTGGAGTCTTCCCAGGATGCCTTTTCCAAGTGTTCTCACTCTCCCTGCTGAGCCTGGGAGACGTGCTGCCCTTTGCCGTGGGTCTGGCACCTGCCAGCCCTGCCTGACACCAGATGCCAGTCATGGCCGTGGGGACACGCGTGCCCTGCAGAGTGGCCTAGAAGCCTGAAGCCGTTGTCACTTTGTTGCTCTTCCTGCTCCAGGGAAGCGCCCCCCAGTGCTCCCAAAGCCCCCCAGTGCCCCCCAGCAGCCCCAGCCCAAAGCCCGAGTGCACACCCCCACTGCTTGTTATTTGTGGGGGCGCTGTCGGAGTCTGGCCCTGGTTGAGGTGGGGGCCTCTGCCCCCCCATGAAGTGGAGAGAAGACTCACCACCGAGAAGTGGGGTATTCTCTGGGGGCCACACCATGTGGCCACTGAGAAGAACCAGTGGGTTTATGAGCCACAAACTACGTGATGTTGTGTTGGTTTCGAGCTCCCAGCCGGGGGCAGAAATGCTACCCGTGGTGCTCAGGTGCCTGGGAACCTCGTCGTCCCGGCCCGGCTGCCTCTCTGCGTCTGTGGCCATCGTGGAAACAGCCCCATCCCTCCCACCACCTGGCTCTGCACCTCTGGGAGGGACAGCATGTGCGCGGGTGTCCACGTTGGTGCCCACCCACGCCCTTGCTCTGGGGTGGATGCGATGCTCCAGGTAGCTGAGCCCTGGCGGCGAAGGCTGTGTTTGCTCTTAACACCAGGACGGAACCCCTCTTCAGACTCCAGTCGGAAGCCAGCAGTTTGGAGGCTGCCCTGCCCCCACCCCGTGCCGGCCATGCCTCGTAAATCGTCAATCGCTTGAATAAGTTTATGGGCGAACTGGCTGTAACTCCATCTCCCTCCGCAGGGCACGGCTCGCCACCGTGATCGTTCTAGAGGGCACTCGTTTCCGTCTTACACAGGAAGACTCACTTATTTCTGGTCCAGCGGTCATGCCCAACACCAGCACCCCCCTCAGCCCCTGCATGATGCCACCTCCCACGCCCTTGGAGGAGCCCAGCCCGTGGTGGGAGGTGCACAGCCCCTAGGCAGCCTTGGAAAACTGCCAGGCATTTAGACAGCAGTGGACAGCCCTGGATCTGCTGGGCACCCCTGCTTCCTATGTCCCTGGTGCAGCGTGACTAGGCCACCCAAGCCCTGGGCTGGGGGCCGCCCTCGCCGTCCTGTCGTCCCTGGTTCCATCTGCCACTGGTGCCCAGACCCTCAGCCAATTAGTGACCAGCAGACTGGGCTCATTAGTTGTGGCTGACATCTGGCGGCCAGATCCTGTTTGATAGGGTCTGGTCCAGTGTGGGCCGGCAGCCTGAAGGAACAGGGCAACTCGACAGGTGGCAAGGATGGGCATCGCTCTTCCGAGAGAGAAATGTCCATGGAGAATATGGGAGTCCAGGGGCTACAGGTCCTTGCAGGGTGCCTCCAAATGTCTTTTCTTCCACCTTTTTTCCCCAGTCATCCCCAGGTGAGCCCAAAGCCCTGATCAGTCTTCATAGTGTTCCAGCCCTTTTGGATTTCTGGGATGGAGCTTGTGTCATATACCTACTCTTTGATTTTCCATCCACCATCCATCCATTTATCCATCCATCCATCCATCCACCCATCTATCCATCTACATACATACATTCATCCATCTATCCATTCATCCACCCATCTGTCTACCCATCCATCCACCCACCCATCTTTCCACTCATCCATCCACCTATCCACCCTTCCATCCACTCACCCACTCATTTGTCCCCACCCATCTATCCATCCAACCTCCTGTTCAGTTATTCTCCCTCCCTTCCATCCCCCTTTCTTCTCTTAGCAGCTAAAGTGAGCATCCTCACTTATGGTGGCCTTCAGGCTTCCACAGAGCCTATGGGGTCCCCAGAGCTGACAGCACAGCACCCATGAGTCCTGCCTGCTGTTGTTCTCTTCCAGCTAGCTGGGTCAGGAATGACATCCGTGGGTGGCTCCTCTCTTGGTCTCTCATGAGCCTGACTCACTAACCTGGCTTTGATGGGCAGGTCTGGCTCGCTGCAGCCAACACAACACCGAGTCAGTGTTCATGGGGCAGAAGGAAAGGATTGGTGCTGAGCCGACATGCCCTGGGGAACCCTCAGCAGAGCCTCCCATGGTTGAGTGTGGCTCTGTGGAGACACTGCTCAATGGGTAAGGTGAGGCAGGCTTGTTTGGGAGAGACCGTCACCTGGTCTGCAGCCAGACCACCACCTAACCCCTCCTGCTTTTTGTCTCCCACACTCATGGAAATCGGGTCATCTGAAGGCTCCTTGGGGAGGCCAGGGCAGGGGTCAGCTTCCCTTAGTCTCTCACCACCCTGGGGCCTCACGACTGTGCAGCTCACTTCCCTTAGAGAGAGTGAGTGAGCGAGCACCTGAGCACCAGCACCAAGATCGGAAGCCACAGCCCTTCTATCTAATCGCAGGAAGACATGCCATCACTTCTGCTGCTTTCTGTGGTCCAGGAGCCAGGCTGCCCGCCCAGACTACGGGGAGTGGGGAGCGGGCTACATGAAGGGGCACGTGCAGCAAGGTTGGATTATCAGGGGCTGCCCCGGAGGCTCCCCATGGGGGCCATGGTGCAGTGCTGGGATGGGGACCGAGGGCCACCCCTGCTTGCCCTGTCTGGCCTCAGTTTCCCTAGTCGTCAGCAAAGACACCATGCTCTGGCACTGCTGGCATCTACGGAGAAGGGGGCATCGTGGCTGCCAGAGGAGCGTGGCCCAGAAGCTGCGGCACCTCAAACGAGGGCCAGTTGGCTAGCTGGGCACCCCCCGCCTCTGCTGCAACCT